ATTTAGCGTAATTATTTTTATGATTAACTATAATATAGTTTTGTTAAAATATCTTTGACTCGTTGTGTTGTTATTTCTTTATGTATTTAAAGATAAATATTATTCTATGGCCATAAGAATAAAAATCTGAATTAATTTGTAGTTGGAGGTTTAACCTTGGGGATTTAAATGAGTAAGAAGTTAAGGTTAAAAATCTTTTTGTTTGTTGATATTATAATACTCATTTATCTTGACTAGTCACTATAATTCAAATTTTTATATGTATATTTTCTAATATTAATTATTATTACGCATGTTATGTGATTATAAATATTTCTTTGAAAATTTTTTTCACTCCTTATTTTTCTTGTTTAAAATATTTAATTAAATATGAAAAATAAATGGATCTACCAATCATACCAGGCCCTTTCACTTCCGTTATTACTGCAATTTTTCGGGTACCAGTTGGGGTATGGACGCATCTGCAAATGCCGTTACATTTCAGGGAATAGGAATATCGACTTTTGTATTTTCACTAACCCAGCAAAATCCTGTTATCATAGATGGCCAAATAGTAGTCACTTTTTATCTACCTCCAACAAATCATGTTAATCCAATAGTGAACTTATATCAACCCGATATGTAAACATTATATAATTAGTGTAAGAAATAAGTAGATTATAAGTATGTACATTATTGTAAATATTTTTTTGTTTAATAAATGATGCAAATATAAAGTGTTGTATGTAAGCGAGTGTATAAAAAATAAAATTTTATTTTATGTATAATAATATTAATGATATAATGTACATAATTATTACATACGTAGAATATTGGAATTAATATTCACACGATTAGGCGGTTACAATTTAATGGTATCAGAGCTACGTTCTGTGTGTAACTTGGGGAAATGTGCTAACCATGTTTCTAGTGTGGTAAACTAATCCATAAAAATTTCAGATGGCAGGAAGAAGAAACACAGAACTGACAGAGATTGTGAAAGCTATTAAAGACATGGCTGCAGCCTTGTTAAGAAATCAACGACCAGAAGGAATGAGGGAGTCACAAGGATTGGTTGAATTTAGGAGAAACAAACCTTCCCATTTTGACGGAGGGTATAATATGTGTGTGTGTGTGTGTGTGTGTGTGTGTGTGATATCCAATTATATTATAAATATTTATAATATTTTACTATTACATACGAAAAACAACTTATTATAAATTTGTATGATGCTATAAACATATAAAATAAAATGGTTTAGTGGTTTAAGTAGTTGTGTATAAGAACTACAAGTTCCAGATCATAGGTTCAAATCCTACCATGGCCTTATATATTTTTATATATATTAGAATAAGTAAGTAAATGAGCAACAGTGGAAGAGAACGTAAAAGAAAGAAAAAAAAACCGAGGAGAACTTTATCTCTTTAAAATTTTATATAGTACTATGTTTATTTATTTGTGTTATTTTTTATGTATATTTATTTAGTGGGGTGTCCCTAACCTCATTTATTTGCTTAACCTATGATTATTTTTACTTATAATAATTAATAAGGTGTTCATAGTTCATGTTGTTTAATTATTTTATAATGAATATCATTGTCATTTACTTGATTGGTGCTCTTTAATATATTTCATTTACGTAAATATTATTTAAAGCTTAAATAATGATAAATACTCAAATTTATTTAGCGTAATTATTTTTATGATTAACTATAATATAGTTTTGTTAAAATATCTTTGACTCGTTGTGTTGTTATTTCTTTATGTATTTAAAGATAAATATTATTCTATGGCCATAAGAATTGTTTAGACACCCTAACTTTTGCCTAGGATGTATCCTAGCAGGTTATTTCTGCTCTCTTTTTTTTTTCACCCTAAATTTTGCCTAGGATGCCCTTTGCGGGTTTTCATCCCAGCGGGTCATTTTCATTTTTTTGGACATGTTCAAATTTTGACAACCATCAACAATATATGTCATTAGGATGGGATAAGACAGAAAGGAAAAATTGTTGTTATTTCTTTATGTATTTAAAGATAAATATTATTCTATGGCCATAAGAATAAAAATCTGAATTAATTTGTAGTTGGAGGTTTAACCTTGGGGATTTAAATGAGTAAGAAGTTAAGGTTAAAAATCTTTTTGTTTGTTGATATTATAATACTCATTTATCTTGACTAGTCACTATAATTCAAATTTTTGCTTAGTGAGGAACTGGCGGTAGTATGGTTGGCTGAGCTTGTAGGGAGGCAGACCAGGTTGGTTGGAGCGGGAGCACTTGCTTAAGGATTCCATCTATATAACATAAGACAAGAGATCCTAGACATACAAGGTGAGCACAACAAGATATACAATGATGACTAATTACGATATGGAAAAATGAAGACCATCCATAGACCAAAATTAAACATAACATGGAAGTAAAAGGCAATGGACTATGATAATACAACACAAAGTACACAAATAGAACAAAAAGAAACTGAAACTGAAAATATTGGGTGCTAGACATGTGATGCGCCGGGTGCCAAACACATGTGTCGGGCGTAGAGAGATTAGTGAACTCTCTGGTGGTGCATTGCGCTGGGCGCAAACAAGACTGCACCGGGCGTGAGCGAGAATAGAAACTCTCTGATGCTCTTCACGCCGGGCGTAAGGAGCACACGCCGGGCGCAAATGGGAAGATCTAGTGAAGAAAGCGTTGGGCGTATTTTTATCGCGCCGAGCACATGCCAGTTACATAGCAGTCGCGTCGGGCGTAGTTCTTCACACCGGGCACAGATTTATATGTAAAACAATTAAAAAACCAACCTACGCCGGGCGCAGTTCGTCGCGTCCGGCGTGGGTGCATGCAGGGGAGTAAAAAATCATCTTTTTGGCCCCAAAACCCAATGCAAGCCTTAGCCCCCATGCTAAACAAGAAAAGACGAGACAAGGATGCATGAAAACAAAAATAATCAAGAAACGAGAACCTACTTGAGTGTGGAATGCGGGGAAGGAGAAAGAAGCGCAAATGTGTGGCCTTGGGGAATGTTGGGTGATAGTCAAAGATGAGGGAGACTGAGTGGGGGACAATTTAAGAGGGAAGGAAGAATAGAGAGAGTGGGAGGGAGGTTTTGGGAGGTTATGGGGAATGAGGAGTTGTGGACGTTGAGGAGAAAGAAAGAGAGTGGGAGGGAGGTTTTGGCAGTTGTGGGATATGAGGGGTTTTACGCCGGGCTTAAAATACGTGGGTCGGGCTTCATATCAGTAGAAGCCCAAGGGTTTAACCCCATCTGATATCACGTCGGGCTCATCCGCGGTGCGCCGGGCATACTTAGGTCAAAGGCAACTAGGAGCCATGGGTGCACCGGGCACATTCATGGGTGCACCGGGCGTGTCTCCACCTGTAGCGTCCAACTTTTAATGTGCCCGATATGCCACAAATGCGTTGGGCGTGGTGGTTCCAAGTGTCTCTATTTAATACGTGGCCAGGCGCGAGAGAATTACGCCCGGCGTATCAGCTACTAGGAGCCATGGGGATATTCACGTCGTGCTTGGCATTGAATGTGCCTGGCATGGTCTTGGCAGAGAGTAACCACCACCTATTGCGTCGGGCTTATGATAGATGCGCCCGACGTGATCAGGGCTATCAGGGGGTTGCCTAACTTGCACTCTTCATCCCACATTCACATGAATTTTCTTTTCCTCACACTTTGAAATAAGATTTAACCTATATCTACCCACTCAAGCATGATTCACACAATTACATACAACACATACAATCGTAATTCAACTCACACACAGACAATTATCACACATAGTAATGCTGAAGTCTAAGAATGCAATTCAAATGGAAAACACGTAAGAAAAATGTTCAGATCTCTGGGTTGCCTCCCAGGAAGCGCTTGTTTACTATCTTGAGCCTGACTAGAAGAGACCTCAAGGATCTCTAAAAGAAAGGATACAACAGAGTCTTTCGACTTCTCCACCCAAGTAGGGTTTCAATCGTTGTCCATTCACAACCCAACTTCTTTGTGCCTTAGGATCTTCAATTTCTATTGCACCATAGGGTTTCACTTCCTTAACTCTAAAAGGGTCAGACCACTTAGATCTTAGTTTTCCAGGGAAGAGTTTGAGCCTAGAATTGAAAAGTAGTACTGACTGGCCTGCCCTGAACTCCCTCTTGAGAATCGTCTTGTCATGATAGCTCTTGACTTTCTCCTTGTAAAGCTTGGATGATTCATAGGCTTGTAGCCTCAATTCATCAAGAGCATGTAGCTCTAACTTCCTCTTCTCACCAGTACTGAGAGGATCGAAATTCAACATCCTCAAAGCCCAATAAGCTTTGTGCTCCAATTCTACAGGAAGATGGCAAGCTTTCCCATACACCAATTGAAATGGAGTGAGACCATAAAGCTTCATCAAGCTTTGTAGACCAATCCTTCCTTGAAGATGACACAGTTTTCTCCAAAATCCTCTTGATCTCTCTATTAGAAACCTCGGCTTGACCATTGGTTTGAGGGTGATAGGCGATGGCAACCTTATGATGGATTCCATAGTGTTCTAGAGCCCTCTCCAACTGAGCATTACAGAAGTGTGAACCTCCATCATTGATAAGTACCCTAGGGGTGCCAAATTTTCTAAAAATGTGCTTCTTGAGGAACTTCACTACTGTTTTGACATCCGCCTTGGGTGTAGCAATAGCTTCAAACCATTTTGAGACATAGTCTATTGCCACAAGGATGTATTCATTTGTGAGAGAAGAAGGCAGTGGTCCAACAAAATCTATGCCCCAATAATAGAACACCTCAACTTCCTGCATACTTTGTAAGGGCATCTCATGCTTCCTAGTGATCCCTCCGGCCCTCTAACAACTGTCACACTACATGGCATGACTGGGGGCATCTTTGAAGAGTGTGGGCTAGTAAAAGCCAGATTGAAGAACCTTGGCAGTTGTTCTCTCTCCATTGAAGTGCCCTCCATAAGGAGAGTTGTGACAGTGCAACAGAATACTCTTGGCCTCCTCTCTAGAAACACACCTCCTCAGTAGGATCGTTGTCCATTCACAACCCAACTTCTTTGTGCCTTAGGATCTTCAATTTCTATTGCACCATAGGGTTTCACTTCCTTAACTCTAAAAGGGTCAGACCACTTAGATCTTAGTTTTCCAGGGAAGAGTTTGAGCCTAGAATTGAAAAGTAGTACTGACTGGCCTGCCCTGAACTCCCTCTTGAGAATCGTCTTGTCATGATAGCTCTTGACTTTCTCCTTGTAAAGCTTGGATGATTCATAGGCTTGTAGCCTCAATTCATCAAGAGCATGTAGCTCTAACTTCCTCTTCTCACCAGTACTGAGAGGATCGAAATTCAACATCCTCAAAGCCCAATAAGCTTTGTGCTCCAATTCTACAGGAAGATGGCAAGCTTTCCCATACACCAATTGAAATGGAGTGAGACCATAAAGCTTCATCAAGCTTTGTAGACCAATCCTTCCTTGAAGATGACACAGTTTTCTCCAAAATCCTCTTGATCTCTCTATTAGAAACCTCGGCTTGACCATTGGTTTGAGGGTGATAGGCGATGGCAACCTTATGATGGATTCCATAGTGTTCTAGAGCCCTCTCCAACTGAGCATTACAGAAGTGTGAACCTCCATCATTGATAAGTACCCTAGGGGTGCCAAATTTTCTAAAAATGTGCTTCTTGAGGAACTTCACTACTGTTTTGACATCCGCCTTGGGTGCTCATTTATCTTGACTAGTCACTATAATTCAAATTTTTATATGTATATTTTCTAATATTAATTATTACTACGCATGTTATGTGATTATAAATATTTCTTTGAAAATTTTTTTCACTCCTTATTTTTCTTGTTTAAAATATTTAATTAAATATGAAAAATAAATGGATCTACCAATCATACCAGGCCCTTTCACTTCCGTTATTACTGCAATTTTTCGCTCAAGAACCCATAGAGCACTCTAATTCATACAATAAACATCTTACTCATAAAATTTTCTCTTACAATTACTAATGCATTCCCTTAGGGTTTCTCATAGGAACCTATAGAGTTCTCAAATATACATTTATATTTAAATATAGGAGAAGCAACAGAACATTTATAATTAGGGAAAACCCCTCATACATGAGCATACAACAAACAACAAACATAGGATTGGGGACCAATCCCACTACCCAACATACATTCCCACACCAGAGCAAGGTTTCTCGAGTTGAAACTAAAACCAGATCCTACTGGTCTCCTCCTCTGGGTTCCCCGTTGGTCTTCAGAGAGTGTATAAGAAAAAAAGATAAGAAGTGAAAAATGTGCTTTTGAGAGTGTCAGAGCGATCTATTTATAGGCATCAGGAGTGGCCAGAACGACCCGTTTCAAATCCGGAACGACCCGTTCTAGACTCATTCGTCATGCTTAAATTTCATATCCAGAACAACCCGTTCTCAAACTAGAACGACTCATTCTGGGATTACAATTTAACCCACAATGGCTGTGTTTGGAACGACCCGTTCCTAAAGTAGAACGGCCCGTTCTGAGTTCGCATATTGCTCATAAAATCCTGTGTTGGAATGGCCCATTCCAGTCTATTGTGTAAAGGCCATTTTAGTAGTTTGGAACAGTCTGTTCCAGTTTGGGAACAGCCCGTTCTGGGCTACTAAAAAGCAAAATATTTTTCAAAAATATTTTTCATTAATATAAAAATAAATAATAATTAACCCTTATACTAGTAGAGAATTTGGGGTGTTACAAATTACATTTTAATCCTTCAAATATTAAAATTGTGTGATTTTATTCCACAAGATTTTAATTAAATAATTTTATGCTTTCAAGTATTCCAGCTGCACAATTTTGATTCTCAAATTTTAATTGAGCAATTTTAATCCATCAAATATTACAATTTTATGATTTTAATCACTACCATTAAAAATCTAATTATTTTTTTTAGTTATACCATTGTTGACCTATTTAAATTACATATATGCTATTTATACTAATATATAGATAGATACCCCATTAATAACTACTTTTATATTTACATTTATTGGACAATTATACCCTTTAATTATTAAGAAAAATAAAATTAAAAATCAAGAATTTTTTAGTAACTACAATTCTTCTTTAACAATCACTTACTCCATTATCTTTAATTTAATTAATTTAATTTTTTAAAATAAACATTAAGAGATTCAAAGTGTGATGGAAGTAGCTTGTAGGAGTGATTATTGTTCTCCTCCAATCTCCATCTCAATGTCCAATCATACTCTTGAGGTCTCCAATGGAGTTTTCACGAAAGCAAAACAAGCTTCAAAAGCTTGTAGGAAGCCACTCTTGTGGTTCAATTTCTTCTTGAAGAAGAAGAAGAATAAGAGACACCAAGACACAAAGGAGGAAGTCCTTTGTGAAAGATCTCTAGGAGAGAAAGTTTCTCCACGAAATAGGACTCTTGAAAATGAGAGAGAATTTTTGAATTATAGTTCTCATAAATGTTCAAAAGTGATTACAAATGATAGGAATAAGTTTATATAGAGTAGGGAAGCTTGTGGAGCAAGCTAAGCTTAACCATGGTTCAAGAGAACCATGATTGGCTTAACTTGACCGTCAACCATGGTTTGAGAGGCTTGTAGAGCAAGCTTCGAACTTAGTAGCTTGGGAAGCAAGCTAAGTCAGAAGCTTGTAGCTCAAGCTTCCCAAAGGTGCCAATTGAAAAAGCAAATCCGGCCAAGGTTGGGATGGACGGCCATGGGTTAATTTATATACTTAGTCCAATCCAATAATCTTGAAATTGGTTTAGTTAGGTTCACCACATGATGGTGAGGCCTAGCTAAATCAATTCCTTGGAAAATATGGAGCAAAACAAGCTCAATACTTAAAATTTGGCCTAGGCCCAACTCTGGCCCATTTACTAGCTGCACCTACACACCTTGCTAATTGTCACCCCATTTCTACTACTAAAAAATGTAAAATGAGTGACCCTTAATACAAGGTCAAATGGAGCAAAAGTATCCAAAGAATCTACCCTAACTAAATACAAAATAGGATAGTCTATAAAGAAGAAATAAAGTGCCACACAAATACAAAGGCAAAAATAAACCTATACAAGAAACTATGTACAAATGAACTAAGGCCTTCTCTTTAAGATATGGTGGTCCACGTGAAGATTACCTTGAGCTTAGAGAGCCCATTAACCTTCAAGCTTTCCAGCCTTTCTCGTATGTTCTTGGCCATAGCTATGGTAATTGGGCCCTTGGCCCATGGTCCATCAAAGTGTCTTTTTTTCCATTAGTATATTGTAATTGTGTTAGGATCATATGATAAAAAATTTAAAACACAACTCAAACTTCAAATTTTTCTTATAAAAGAAATACCCAAGTAACCATAGTCTGGTCATCAATAAAAGTTATGAACCAATGTTTTCCAGACATAATTGTTATCCTAGAGGGACCCCAAAATGTCACTATGAATCGTTGTAAAAGGTTCAAAAGTTTTGTATGGTTGGGGAGGAAAAACAACACGATGGTGTTTTTCCAATTCACATAATTCATATTTAAAGGACAATTGATTTTTGTTCATGAATAACTTTGGAAACAAATGTCTTAAATATTGGACATTAGGACGTTCTAACTAGTAATGTCATAACTGAAGTTTAGTGAAAAACACACAGAAGGGGGGTTGAATGTGTGTGATCGAAGGATTTTTATAAGCGTTTTCGCAAGGATGTTGCTTTCCGTTAGAAAATAATGTTTTAGCTGCGGAGGAAAGTATAAGGTTGATTAAAAGAATCTATGCGTCCGAAGTTCTATCGTCTTTTCGAAAATGATTTTTTTAGTCAAACAAATATGAGTTCGTCTAAATATTATTTTGAAGATAGATAGTAGTAAACGAAGATTTTCAAAGTGATGAGTCAATATGAATGATATTACATTTTTAAGTTAAGTAAAAGTGCAGAGTTTTTATACTGGTTCACTCATTCTAAGCTACGTTCAGTCTCCTTCAACTGAAGGGTTTCACTAATCACAACGGATTACAAGTATTCTCAACCACTTCTGGTTCGTCAACCTGACATGCTGACGCTAGTATTCTTAAACCACTTCTGGTTGTCCAAATATTCTTAACCACTCCTGGTTCGTCAACCTCACTTGCTGACGCTAGTATTCTTAAACCACTTCTGGTTGCACAAATATTCTTTTCCTAGCCTCTTCAGGCTTTACAGACGATAGATGTTTTGAGTGTGTATATGACTCTCATAGAGAGGATAAGCTGGTTTCTACACTCACTAAGGTTTTCAACCTTAATTTTACAAGAATGTGTTTAGAGTGTTTGTGTAACTCTCACAAAGAGGATAAACTGATTTCTACACTCCCTAAGATAAGCTATCTTAGTTTTACATGGATATTCAACTTTTTCACACGAAGAGAAGTAAGGTTGTTTTTGACGTTTGTTTTGGCTTATTTCTTGTTGCTTTTCTCTTCTTTTTTTACTTTTCTTCTCGGAGCTTGCTCTTTATAGCCTTATGATGGATCTGCCCGTTATTTGAATTTGAATATGTCCATTGAGGCGGGGTTTTCCATTGGTGCAGATGAACGTTCGCTTATGGCTACACATATCTTGTTCATTTAATGCGTTTGATTTTGCATTAAATGCTTTGCTTGCTCAATCTGTATTTCGTGTGAAGTCTTTTGCGTAAATTGTTCCCTTTTATTTCTGACTTCAATCATGACCTAGGTATGTTTGTCTTTTTTTTGTCATTATAACTGCGGAGGGGTTTCCTTTTTCTGAAAAGCAGTTGTACTTGTCCTGACACACACAACTTTGACTTGTTGATTCGCGCTTTTGCATTTTTCTCCCTTCTTTTCGTATCTTGATAACTCCATGAACTTTTCTTATAATCTGAAGATGATGTATGATCTTCTTTGTTGTGACTAGTGGAACCTAGACGCTTTTCATCGTGCTTCTTTTGTGTTTGAGAAACTGAGTCTCCGTCTAAGATTTGGACTTTGATTTTTTTCATTTCGCCTTATCATTATTGAGAATGAATAATTCTTATTTCATTCGGAATGCTTCTTTGTCTTGAACTATCCATCGACTGATGATTGCTTTGGTTTGAATATGTATGATCGTCCCTTGAGTTTTGTTTGATGTTTGTTTGGTGCTTGAGTCCACCTTATCTTGGTTCTCGCTTTTCTTTTGTTCCTGAATTCTTCTATTCCGCTTTGGATTGATCTTGGCGTCTCTTTGTTTGATATCTATTATCGACTGATACATATGTCATGATTCTTCTTTTCATTTTGCTTGTTTTTGTCGGATCCTTGTTTTGCTTGACCCTGCTTCATGCTTTGGATTTTCTTGTTCTTATACATATCTGAAACACTACTACACAGATTAGTAATAGTAATATGTATTATATTTTTCATGTTCAAAACTTTTCTAAATCTTTTCTGGGAATTATTTCCTGAAGTTTTTCCTAATGATATTCCTGGTTTGCCACCTGACAAAGAGATTGAATTTTCAATTGATTTAATGCCTGGAAGTGGATCAATTTTGATGGAACCTTATAGGATGTCACTTTCTGAATTAACTAGTTAAAGAAA